AATTAGAACATTATCAGAAAAGCAGTTATACAGAACCCATAGCCCAGGGAGCTCATGATCTCTGAAGCACGTCTCCTTCGATAATGAGACATAACACGGGCACTCTGCCAGGGACCTCCAGGGAGCTTAGTCCCGTGGGACACGTATCTCCCATCCGCTATTATTGACATAATTGTTCATGTCACACAGATGACACTGGAGTTGGTGTGGCACCTCTGGGCACATCTGGGGATAATCTTGACTATATTAATTGAGAAGGGAAACCCTGCCCACTGTGGGTGGCACCATTCCCTAGATGGGATCCCAAACTATATAAACTAGAGAAAGCAAAGTGGAATTCATTCATCTCTCTCTGTCGACCAGCTGCTTCAAGCTCCTGCCATTCGGACTCCCCACCAGGGTGGACCCTTGAACTGTGAACCAGGAAAAACCTTTTCTCCTTCTGTTGCTTTTATCAGTCTTTTTCTTTGACAGTTTCATATATGTACATAATAAATTTCAGTAATTTTTATAACTATTATACCTCTCTAATCCCCCTTTCCCCAATGAAACCTTTTTTTCTTCCCAAGAAATTCCTCTGCTATTTCCATGTCTTTCTCTGTGTGACCCACTGAGTTTAACTGGGTTGTTTGTGAGACTGTGAGTAGAAGATCATTTACTGGAGCACGGGCAGCTTATTGGGAATTACATCACTGAGAAAAGTGACTATTGTAGAATATTATTTTAAGGTGTGTTACTTCAGTTTATGTTGCACTTGTTTAACTCTGTGAAGCTGTATTACTGTGCCTGTCTAAAACACCCAATGGTTTAATAAAAAACTGAAAGGCCAACAGCAAGGCAAGAGAAAGAATAGGTGGGACTGGCAGGCAGAGAGAATATAGAAGGAGAAATCTGGGAAGAAGAAAAGGAAGAAGTAGCCAGAGAAGGAGGAGAACTCCAGAGGCTAGCTACCCAGCTACACAGAAAGCCACAGAGTGAGAGTTAAGATGTACAGAAGTAAAAGAATGGGAAAAGCCCAGAGGCAAAAGATAGATGGGACAATTTAAGTTAAGAAAAGCTGGCAAGAAACAAGTCAAGCTAAGGCCTGACATTTACAAGTAAGAATAAGCCTCTGTGTGTGATGTATTTGGGAGCTGGGTGGTAGGAAGACCAAAGACCAAACACACAACAAGTGACACCTGTTCCCCTAGCCACCATTAATGCTCAAAGTCCCTAAGGAAGGGTGGGGCCTCATGTGGAAAGATTGACAGGCCCAATCATATTTATTTCTGTGCAGGTAATCACAGTGATTGTGAGTTCATGGATGTAACCGCCATTCATTCCACACACCTCCCCATCCTCTGGGTTTTCTGTTCTTCCTGATTTTCTCAGAAGGGGACTCAATGTCCCTTGAGTCTTGGAGGGTAATACAGAGGACCTATTTACAGACAAGCATTCCACCATCCTTTATTCTCGGCAATTCAACCAGTTATGAGTCTGCATTAACCACCACTGTAAGATGCTTCTCTGACAAAGGCTAAGAGCAACACTAATCTTTGGATATAAACATGTGTATTTAGAAAGCAGGGTGACCAGGCGTTGGTGTAGAAAAAACACAGTGGTTCCCCTGAGGTCCTATGATCTCCCTACCTCCAACTCTTCAACAGGTTTGTAGTACCAGACAAGATTTCTCTTCTTTGAGCTGGCCTAAAACCCAATCAGAAAGCAGTTAAGTTACCCATATAACATTCATGAGATCATTGCTCCCATGGCTATATCTCGCCTGGCCAGTTGTTTGTATAGCTCTCAAGGTTCACAGCTGAGATGACCTTCTCCCCAGAAGCCTGCCTCTCACCTTCCAGCCCTATCAAAGCTAGACAGCAGGGGGCATGTTCCCAGGTCAGCACCAGCATACCTCTCCATGTTCTGTGACCAAGGAGTGTGCTGTCTTCAGCAATACTCTTACCGCCTATTTCTGGTAGACAGGAGCAATGGCAATTGTTTGGGGAGGGGCGGGGTCTTTGTGGCCTCCCTTGGTCAATATTTTGTTTGTTTTGTTGTTGTTGTTGTTGTTGTTGTTGTTGTTGTTGTTGTTGTTTTTGAGACAGGGTTTCTTTGTGTAGTTTTGGTGCCTGTCCTAGACCTCGCTCTGTAGACCAGGCTGGCCTCAAATTCACAGAGATCTGCCTGGCTCTGCCCCCCTAGTGCTGGGATTAAAGGCGTGTGCTACTGCCTCCTGGCTGGTCAAAGTATTTTATCACAGCAGTAAGAAAAGAAACTAAGAGCAGGATTATAAGAAATGTTTATTTTCTTTCAGAAGTTTGTATCACCTAAATTTCCTGAAACAAATATATTCTCAAAATAATTAAGACTGTCATTTTTTAGAATGTCTTGTGTGTGTGTGTGTGTGTGTGTGTGTGTGTGTGTGTGTGTGTGTGTGTACGTGATATGACGCATGTGTGCCACAGAACACCTGGAGAGGTCAGAAGACAACTTTCCAGAGTGGCTGTCTCCTTGTGCTTTTATATCAGTTCCGAAAAATTAACTCAGAATGATGGCTTGTGGCCAGCTCACAGATGTCATTTTTAAACTCCCATACCAAATTTTCTATTTATTTATTACAAAAAAAAAAAAATAGAAGGGCAGTCAGGAGGCAGTGGTGGCGCACGCCTTTAATCCCAGCACTTGGGAGGCAAAGTCAAGCGGATCTCTGTGAGTTTGAGGTCAGCCTGGGCTACCAGGACAGCCAGGACTGTTACACAGAGAAACCCTGTCTTGAAAAACCAAACACAAAAAAGATAAGACTACCCAATACACAAAGTTTAAATTTAGAGGATATAAACCTCTGTAAAACTCATTTTATTAAAAATATAAGATATCAGGTGTGGCGGCACATGCCTTTGATCCCAGCACTCAGGATGCAGAGGCAGATGGATCTCTATCTGCCTAGTAAGTTCCAGGCCAGCCAGGGCTACATAGGGAAACTCTGTCTCAAAGAGTAAATTATTTATTTTTATTTATTTATTTATTTATTTATTTATTTATTTATTTATTTATTTATTTTGGTTTTTCGAGACAGGGTTTCTATGTGTAGCTTTGTGCCTTTCCTGGAACTCATTTGGTAGCCCAGGCTGGCCTCGAACTCACAGAGATCAGCCTGGCTCTGCCTCCCGGCATAAATTAATTTAAAAAAAAAAAAAAAGGCTAGACCAGTATTTCTCAACCTGTAGGTCACGACCCCTTTGAGGTTGGACAACTCTCCCACAGGGGTCACCTAAGAAAACAGATTGGAAAACAAATAATTACAATTCATAACAGTAGCAAAATTACAGTTAAGAAGTAGCAACAAAAATAATTTTATGCCAGGTAGTGGTGACACATGCCTTTAATCCCAGCATTTCTCAGGAGGCAGAGGCAGACAGATCTCTGTGAGTTCAAATCCAGCCTGGTATACAGAGTGAGTTCCAGGATAGGCTCCAAAGCTACACTGGGAAACTCCGTGTCAAAAAACAAAGAAAATTATTATTGTTTTATTATTATTATTATTATTATTAATGGTTGGGGTCACCACAACATAAGGAACTGTTTTATATATATATAAATTTATATTATGTATATATACATATATGAACATGCTGGACATGGTAGTGAACATCTTTTATCTCAGCACTCAAAAAGCAGAGACAGGGAGATCTCTGTGAGTTCAAGGCTAGCTTGGTCTACATAGCAAGTTCCAGGCTAAGCAAGGGCTACACAGTGAGATTTGCAACCTCAAGAATTTCCTACAAAAGAGAAGAAACTCAAGTTGCTTTTGGCTATAATGTCTTACCACAGCAATAGAAACCCAAAGACACCTATTACATTATTCTCAGTAATAAAAAAATTATTGCTAGATAATAAACTGGATCTGACAGGAAGAAGAAATTAAAAAGGCTAGTAAAATTAATCATTAGTACTAGCACTTATTTACATCAAACTAACCGTGGATAAAACATACACATACCATCATTATTTTTGTCCAGACTCTTAAATGCCAGTTTCATTTTCTTCTCGTGGTCTTGAAGGTACTGCACAAATTCTTCAAAATCCAGTGCTTGATCAGCATTAGAATCTGCAGTTTGAAAAATTTCCTACAAGAGAAAAAAACGCATTGCAACAATCATATGTAAAGTCACTATACCATGCTAACATTTGCACATTTCACTCTTACTATTTATGGTGTCTTTAAGTATCCATTACCTAGTTTTTAAATTAGTGTAAGCCTAAACACATTAAATGATTCAAATATTTTTTAATTCCTGCAGTAATGAGGTCAACACATCATCTCAAATAAATGTGAATTTATGATTAAATATTTACTTCAGATACACACACCTCATGGGCTTAAAGATACTAAGGTATATAGCCTTTGTTATCAGAGACAAAAAAATCTGTCTACTAAATGTGATAGATATTAAATTCTAGTACGTTCCTCAGATTAATAGTTTGAGACTAGCCTTGTAAAGTAAGCATGTATGTTCAAGTCTCACTAAATCACTAAGCTTTTTAAAGTAAAAAAGTTAACATTATAGGGCTGGATAGATGGCTCAACAGTCAAGAACACTTGCTGCTCTTCCAGGGGACCTGGGTTTAGTACCCAGCACCCACATGGTAGCTGTAACTCCAGTTCCAAAGGATCTAGCACCCTCTCTGGACTCCACAGGCACCAGACACAAACACAGTCCACTTACATAAATACATACAAAACACTTATACAACTAAATATAAACAAATCTTTCAAAAACAATAATACATAAAAAAAATTGTATATTCCCCTAAGACTCTTACTATACTGACAATGTTATTATTCATCTTTGTACCATCAATGTCTAGCATAAAATATAAAATAGAAAGGCCTTTAATAGATAACTCACACTTAGTATTTATTGAGTTTGAGAATAAATGCTATGAGCTGAAAAACAGATCACAGTGCACAACACACACTGAACACTGCACACACCATACACTATACAGCACATAATACATATCACACACTGCATACTGTCCAGCACATACTGCACAGCATACACTCAGCACTACATACACCACATACTGCATGCCGCACATTGAATACCACATACTGCACATCACACACACTGCACATTGGACACATTGTACACTACATACTATATACTACACACTGTACACCACATACTGCACATTGAATACCACATACTACACATCACACACTGTACACCTCACACTATTGCACACTGCACACCACACACTGCACATTGAATACCACATACTGCACATCACACACTGTATACCACACATTGCACATTGTACTCACTGCACATTGCACACACTGCACATTGGACACAGTGTATACTGTATACTGCACACTGTACACCACATACTGCACATTGAATACCACACACTGCACATCACACACTGTACACCTCCTACTGTATATTGTGCACTGTACACCACACACTGCACATTGCACACACTGCACACTGGACACACTGGACACCACACACTGCACATCACATACACCATACACTGTGTATTACACACAACACACTGCTGGGAATAAAAAGACAAAAAGTTACAGTCTTTAGTATAAAGCAAATTATAGATACTAAAGATGGCTCACATAACCAAAGGCAATATGTTAGGTGAACTAATGCAAGGAATTCAAGGTACAGTAAGCTTGGAGATATTAAATGAAATGAAAATACTGAAAGACTCCTGTTAGCCTTCATAGTAAAAGACTGCTTGAGCTGAGATTCACAAGGAAAAACATTTGCTAAGCAGATAAACAGGAGTCAACATTTCTATAATACATGAAATATTTGCATGGAGATAGAACAGATGTTAGTTATAAAAATATAGGAATACTAATGGTGATAATAACCATCAAAATATATTGAGCATTTAGTCCTAAGCAAGTTATGGATATAAGTTCATCTCATCTCTATCCTGCTGTGGAATAATCCTTCTGTACACTTTAAATATGTCAACTGTGATTGGTTAATAAGGAAGTTGACTGGCCAATAGCTTTACAGGACAAGGTTTGGTGGGAGAGCCAAACTGAGAATGCTGGGAGGAAGAAGGGCAGAGGTGTCACCAGCAGAGACAGAGAGAAGCAAAATGGGAATGCTGTACTGAGAAAAGGTACCAAGCCACATGGCAAAGTAAATAAAAATATGGGTTAATTGAAAATGTAAGAGTTAGCTAGTAACAAGCCTAAGCTATTGGCCAGGCATTTGTAATTAATATTAAGACTTTGAGTGGCTATTAAAGAGCAGCTTCCAGCACAGGAAAACTCCACTTACACTATCCAATTTGCTAAAGATGAAAATGAAAGGAAGAAAAGATTTAAAAAAAAAGGGGGGGGAGGGAGAGAAATGTTACAAAAATTATCTTAAATTAATGGTTCAGGTTGGTGTTTTTCAGTAAGTAGGACATATATCGTGCTCATATGATGTCTTAGGATTTCTATTATTATGAAGAGACATCATAAACACAACAATTCTTATAAAGGAGAAACATTTAATTGGGGTGGCTTACATTTTCTGAGGTTTAGTCCATTACCATTATCTTACAACATGGTGTCATGCAGGCAGACATGGTGCTGGAGAAGAAACTGAGAATTCTACATCTTGATCCAAAGGCAGCAAGAAGACTGAGTCTACACTGACTGTAGCTTGAGCATAGGAGACCTGAAAGCCCACCCCAACAGTGACATACTTCCTTCAACAAGGCCACACACACCCACTCCAACAAAGCTACACCTCCTAATAGTGCCACTCCCTTAGGGGGACATTTTCTTTCAAACCACCACACGTGACAACAGTATTAAATCACAGTTTGAGAACATCAGTCTTTGTTTCAAGTGTAGCAGGAGATTCCACAGAGTCATTGCATCTGGCTTGAACTCTGGAGTGCCAGCACCTAGGCTTTGAACTACCTTTTGTTTAAAGTCAGGGATTCTTATCTGAGTTCTTCCTGAAGGATTTCAGAGCCTTTGCAAAACGTAGTCTTAGGACTTGGCAAACCAGGTGGTCTTGTGGCTGAGAATTGCTTAGGCAAACGATTCCTTCAAACAACTCCAGGTAAGAAGTTTTGGTATATGGAAATTGACTTGGAATTGACTGGGAATTTGGAAATTGAAAAGGAGGCTTTTGCAAAGCTGCAAGTCTCAGTCCATCCGAAGTTGGATGTCCCTACTGCAGAGAGCCTAAAATTCATCTTCGAGTAACCCTTCTTCAATGGACCTGAGCAAAACAGAACACTGATGTTCAAGTATCATTCACTCTGACTATATCATGGGAAATGTCTGTACTATTCTAACATGGCTGAAAACTTACCAACTTCTTACAGAAAAATATAGCAGAGTAGAAGTTTCAACTTCACAGGCAATACAGTAAAGCATTAAAACAAAATTTTAAAATACAACTTTTAAAATGTTGATTTTATGCTTATTTATAATCTACTCGTTTTCTACCTATGGCAGAAATATAAAGTTTTATTTTCAAAATAAATTTTTGAGAATGATATTAACAATATCACAGAATAAAAAGTCTTGGGCTCCTTTCCCCCACATGCACACATACCAGAAAGCCTAACTATTGACCATACACACCAGAACATCTTTTTGAAACCCCTAAGATTTAGAATCAAGCTGAAAACAGCTACATAATTGGCAGAAGTGAATTATAAGAGCAAGAACAAGTCTCCCTTCAAGCATGATGCCTCTCCCAATTCATTGAAATCAGTACAATATGGTGATATTGTGTCCCCCAATATATTGTGCACCCTAATAAACTTATCTGGAGTCAGAGAACAGAATAGCCATTAGATAGACATAGAAGCCAGACAGTGGTGGCACACACACCTTTAATCCTATCACTTGGGAGGCAGAGATCCATCCGGATCTCTATGAGTTCAAGGCCACACTGGAAACTGAGCCAGGCATGGTGACACACACTTTTAATCCCAGGAAGTGATGGCAGTAAGCAGAAAGGTATATAAGGCGTGAGGACAAGGAACTAGAGCCTTTTTAAGCTTTTAGTTTTTAGCAGCAGTTCAGCTGAGATCCATTCAGATGAGGACTCAGAGGCTTCCAGTTTGAGGAGTTGACAAGGTGAGGTTGGGTGTGGTTTGTTCTGTCTCTCTGATCTTTCAGAGTTCACCCCAATACCTGGCCCTGGGTTTGTTTTTATTAATAACACCTGTTAGGATTCATCTACAGTACAAGGCCAGACATACTCTCTTCATGATCAAGCTCCTACAAGACAAAAGACAACCAGAGGTAGCAACCCAGCTTCCCTAGCATTCCAACATAGTTTCTGGGAGGCCCAGCCAAGTCTTACTGTACATGGGCCACTGGAGTAGCAATATGGTTGACTACTTGCAGTTAGACAGAAACCAAAAAAAGGGCAGTTGGGTCAAAGATTATAGTGACAAGTACATAAATCTTGATATTATCTCTCTGTTCCTGCTGGGTTTGATAGTCAATCAGAAATATTAGTTAACTTCATGACCACTTTTAAAACTGAGCTGGTGGCCCTCAGAAACACAGTAGGAAGCTTAACCAAATTTGTTCTATAGAGATTCTAGTTTATACACACAGCCACAGGCCACACTCGACCAATAATTACCCAGACAAGGAATGCTCAACTCCATCCATTACAAAGAATCATAGAGACTGGAATTGCTGGACCCAGAAAGCCAAGGAGTAGCTCCACTCATCCAAAATCCCTGCCTGAAGACACCAGATAAGGACAGCCCAACACACATGCATTTTAGAAAAGCACAGTAACTCAATTTCCCTGACCTAACATATCAGACAAACACTAAGCCAAAAGCCCAAACCTATAGCTCCAATTTGACAAAGAGGAAGACTCAATGGAATATTTCTAAGAAACACAGTCTGCAGTGGTTTGATTAAAAATTATCTACATAGGTCCATAGGAAGTGGTACTATTAGGAGGTGTGGCCTTTTTGGAGGAAGTATGTTTCAGTCACTTCCTGCTCCCTGCCAGTCTAGATACAGAACTCTCAGCTCCTTCTCCAACACCATGTCTGCCTGCACACCACCATGCTTCCTTCCATGATGATAACTAACTAAACCTCTGAACTCTAAGCCAGCCCCAGTTAAATGTTTTTCTTCATAGGAGTTGCTATAGTCATGGCGTCTCTTCATAGCAATAGAAACCCTAAGACACAGGCTCTGATCTCACCTGTCCCAAGAAGTACCTGGTCCTAAATCTTGAAACCAGTCTAAGACTCTGTCCAACTGTACTCAAATTCCTCTTCTGGAGAATATATGCTATGAGGCAATCAGACCAGAAGGCGCTTAAAAATCTAACAAGAAGCACTACCCAGCACATGAGCAACGCCATCAGCCGAGCCAAGCAGCAGAGACCATGCAACAAGCTCTACTTACCTAATCATCACTTTGCCCTTCCAGAATCTTAGGCTAAACTAAATAGTGGATGTATAGTCATGACAAAATGCAAAAATACATAGATCAGACAAATGGACTGCCTCCCCAAACACATAAACAATAAATACAAGGCGTTAAGGATTATGAAGAATCAGGGATTTGGACTCACTTTTCAGGCCCAGCAGCAAGCAGAAAATCACACAGTACTAGCCCACGGTTTCCATTCTGCTGCCCTCTGGGCTCTGTGATTCCTGTACAGTCTCAGGTCCAAAGCTACTGAGTCAGGTTGGGCGGCGGTGGCGCATGCCTTTAATCCCAGCACTCGGGAGGCGGAGCATGTGAAATTATCCTGAAATGCACCATTACAGTGAGATATTGTAAGTTAATGCCTTCACCAGGCATTTAGGAATTACCAAGTGGAAGACATAACAGCTTTTAGGTTAAAGATCACATGAAGGATTCAATTTCCCTGACATGGTGCAACTTCCTTGATTAAGAGCACTTAGCTTAATTTCAGATCACTGAACAGGGAGAGCAACACCCCAGCATGTTGTGACATGCTTGCAGGCCTGGGAGCATTCCTCCCAGCAGACTCTAGGCTAGGGCAAGGGTGCAGAGGACTAAGTTTTAGAAGCTGACATCATGGTACCAAGATACTGAAACTGAAAATTAGCCAGTTTGCAAGCAGTTATCCACTGCTTACTTGGTTTTAAGCTCTGCAGAACCAGGTCCTCTAAAGGCAGCACTTCCAATAGATATCAACTTGGAGAATTTAAATCGGTCCTTATCTCTCACCCTGCATAAAAAGCAGTTCCAAATGAATCAAAGATCTCAATGTTAGATGTGAAACTGAAAGTTCCAAAGGGCAGAGTAGGGAGTACACTTAAGGCTAGAGTGAGGAATTTCTGAATAGGACTCCTCAAGAAGGAAACAGGGCCAAGGATCAACAAATGGGACTCCGTGAAATTAAAAGGCTTCTGTTAATCAACTAAAGAGGCAACCTATAGAACAGAAAAAAATAAAATCTTTGCCAGCCATTAGTATCTCGACGATACAAAGAGCTCAAGAAACCAAACAAGCCCATTTAAAAATAGATTAATGAACTGAACAGAGAGTTCTGAAAAGAAGAAATGTGTATGGCTAAGAAATCATTGGTGTTAAACTTCTTTAGCTATCAAGTCAATGGAAATTAAAATGACATTGAGATTTCATTGTACACCAGTCAAAACGGCTACCATCATTTAAGAAAAACGGGTTTGCTTTGGCCAAAGGCTAACACAGTCCTGCCCCTTCTGGAAAGGAAATGTTCAGAACCTCAGAATCTCCTTCCAAAATCCCGGGAAGTTTTGTCACTACAGATAATGACTATTTTGAGAATGTTGACAACGTGTTTCACTGGGGCTGTGTTATTCCGCATAAAGAATCCCCCGCAAAAGGGAACCCCACTCCTCCTCCACAAGCTCAGGAAAGCTCTGGAAAGTCCTGAAAGGGGCAGGGCCTCAGGTTGGCCCCACTCAGTGGGGCAGCAGTATTTCCAACATTCCCAGTGCCGCATTCTCTCTCGGTGGCTCACCTTCTCGGAGTTGGAACCAAAGGAGGAATTCCAGTTGTACAGCCCATCCCTGAGCTCCAGGATGTCCACCACACCATCCCCATTGCGGTCCAGGTCTTCGAAGAGGATCTCATAGGCCAGGCGGTCATAATCACTCTGGCAGGCCGCGGGGGGCAGCACGAAGCCCCGCAGCAGCCAGCGCAGCATGGCCCCGCGGCGGCGGCCGCCACGATCCTCCCCGGGGCACCGGCTCCCCCGGTGGCGACCGACGTCTGGGCTGCGCGCCCGCCCCGCAGCAACCGCCTGAGACGCGAGCAGCGCCAGCAGAACCCTGGCGAACCGGGAGTGCTGCCCGGTGGGAACCGGGGCTCCGCGCGCCACGCCACGCACCGCACCGCCCGCACCGGAAGCGGGGCGCTGGGGCGCCTGAGGCTGGGACCACCCGAAGCTGGGGACCCCCCAGCCCTGAAGGCGCCGTCGGAAGAGGTTGTGAGTGTGAAGTCCTGCGGAGGGCTGCAAAGGGCAGCACGGTTCCCGGTAAGTGTGCAATCTACTCGCACAGAATTAGCAAGAAGCAGCTTCCCGGGGGGCCTCTCTCGAAGGTCTATGGTGTGTCACTAAGGGTGGATTCTCCTCTGTTGGGTTCCTTGAAG